GTCCTCATCCTAGAGTTTTTGTTTTCACAACGTGATTGTTTACCAAGTTGTACTGGTTTGAGTAGGTTTGCTTGGGAACAAGCAACCACCTAAGTTTTGGGGAGTTGATAACACCCAAAATGGTATCATTTAGCCCTCATATTTAGGGTCATTTTGAGTCATTTCGTTGTCTCATTGGTTGATATGTCATCAGATACATCATTAATTTGTTCCTCAAAGAGAATACTGTCATATTAAGTAATTTAGATGATACAAATTTTAGGTACAAAAAGGGTCACAAGTGTAGAATTAGGTATAAAAATGAGAGATCACGGCGAAGAGCATGACCGAAAATCAAGGCGTTAAGCTGAGCATTGAGATCGCAGCTGCAAAGATTAGATCCTTGGGCGCGAACTTCAGAAGTAGCCACCAAGGGACGACCAGAGAGTTTCGACTGTCGACTCGTGGCTCTCAGTGTCCATGCCCGCGATAAAGATCGCGGCCGTAACATCCTGGAACCCAAACTTGATGTCAGACCGCGAACTTCCAATCCACCAAGGCATAAAAGGAATCCTCCGAGATCGCGACTGCTCCTACAAAGATCACGCTCGCAATCTTCCCCTGTCCAACCGTGAACTTGTCCGATAGTTAGAACTCTATAAATAGGGGGATCCCTTGCCCTTCACAAGAGAGCTGAAATCGCTTTTTGAAACTCTAGTTTTGAGAGGGAAGTTACAGAGAGAAGTTGAAAGAAGGAAAATAAGAGAAGAAGAAGAAGCCAAGAAGCAAAGGAGCTCTTCCCCAACTCAAGTATTTTTCTAATTCTTCTTATGTATCTTCTTTCCCCCTTTATGTAGGGATGGCAATTTTGACCTGACTCGATTTATCCGACCTGTTTGGCCTGTTTTGGGGCAGGTCGGACCCGCCCCGTAGGCGGGGTGGGCATGGGTACCTCTCATCGACCCGACCTGCCCTGACCCGCCCCATTCTCGACCCGTTCTTGCCTAAATTACATGTAATCTTAGTAAAGTTACTTAAGATTTTCCTCTTATTATATTATATTGTAGCTATAATAAAGTTGTAAATAAGTGAAAACATCAATTTATTCAATAAATTAACTACATTTTATCATATTTTGGTTTATTTTTTGGTCTTTTAGTGAAAATAACGAATAGTTCTAATGTTTTTCGCATAAATTACGTACCCATTGGGTCAACCTGCCCCGACCCGCGCCCCATAATAAATTACCCGACCTGGACCCGACCTGCCATGGGGCGGGTATGGGTATCGAGAAACCCGCCCCGCACCTGCCCCATTGCCATTCCTATCTTTATGTAGTAGTAACCTAAGATACTAGGGGTTTAATCGCCAAATCCTATATTTAGATTTTTGAATTTACAAGGTATTTTGTTAGGGTTCATGTATGAAACTTGTTTATCTAATGATTATATGCTTCTATCAATGTTGAATATATTTGGGATTGTCTTTTCTTGTAATCTTCTTGTTTTCCTACATAGGGTTTGAATGAGATGGTATGGAATTGACTTGTTTGACATGATTGGGTAGATGAACAATTTAGGGAACCTATTGGTGGACGAGGTGACCATCCCTTACAAATCGGGTGGCCCTCCTAGGTAATGTTAGGGTGATGCATGCCTGATCATTAACATGTCGAACAAGCGTGCAGATGGATTAGATCCATTGGAAGGTTCTAGGCCGTATTCCTAGTATAGTGAACCCGATTCAGATGACATTGGGTCAGTGGATCATTCTAGGATTGGGGCTAGTTACTTGACCATTGAGCTAGTCCCCATTTAAGCGAGTCATACACCTTTTGAATGATAGACATATATTCTATGGTGAGGGTGATGCCCCAAGTACCTGCTTTCATCTCTATTTTCTTAAGCTAGTATTTACTATTTGTCCTCTAAAACAACTGCTCTCTAAAACACAATCCTAACAATGGCTAAGTGTAACCAATGAAAGGGACAACAGTATAGTGACACAAGTAATAAATATCAAATCCACGGGTCTCTAGAGTTACTATTACTCAGCTTTGGTTCATTATCTATAAAAAAAAATTAAGATAGAAGAACTATAACTACTCTAGCAAACTATAGTTAAAGTTAATCGAATTACAGGTTGGAAACTCACTCAAGTATGATTCCCCCTAGATCCTCAATTAGGTCCAAGTTGTAATTACCTTTGGTCCTTTTATTGTAGATTAGACTGCGGAAGATCCGAAAAAAACTTGGAATCTCTTAAGCTGACCAAGCCCTCTTTGACAGATTATCTTGCAGACGACTAGCCTTCAATGGGATAAACTGCTAGATCGATTCACACAGATCTCCACTACTTGGAACGAATTCCAGTACAAAGCAATGAATTGACTGAGTCTCGCAATAATCAATTCACTACTATCAATCAAGAAAGCTCTGTTGACCCAATCAGATTCTATCTATCATAGGTTAAAGCAGAAATCAAGAGAATATGATCAGGATTCAATTGACTCAACAAATCATGCCTCAATCAATTAAAATCAATAAGTATAGCATCCAAAAGTTCATAGAAGAAAGATCCTAACACATAGAACTAGGGTTCCTCAAAACCTAAGTGAAGGGAAGTTACTCCATAGAGAAGAGAGAGACTACAAAAAATCTTATATAGATCTTCAATCTCCATTTCCAAGCTTGATTCCCGAGCTCCAATGGTGAATAAATCCTCCAAAACAACTCAAAAAATGATCCCAAGTTGCTCTATCTCTCTCTAGGGTTCGTCCCTTGGATGTTTGGGTTCCAAAACTCATTCTCCCTCTCCAAAAATCGCAGAAACAGACTTATGCCCGAGCAGGGGTAGAAACACGACTGTGTTTCTTAGGTCGTGCTTTCGTCCGCCCCTGTTTTGACTAGATCATGTGTTTTTCTTTAGCTGGGGGACGACCAATTCCACAGTCGAATATGGGGAAACACGACCTTGTCCGTGTGAAACACGACCGTTGTCAAATCGGACTTGCCCGTGTTTTGCATCCCTTTAGCAGTCTTTACTAGCCATGCTAGCACTAAAAAGCACGGTCGAGGTGCTGGAGGAACACGTTCATGTTCTTATGGGAACCCGCCCGTGTTTAGCTCCAGGATCGTCACCAGGCTCGGCATAAAAAGCACTGGCGAGGTGCTGAGTGAAACACAATCATGTTTTTAGGGAAGGTTGCTCGTGTTTCTCCCTCAACTCTATGTTTGAGAGGCTTTTGAGTGACCAAACCACCTCCGATTGACCTGAAACTTGCGTGTATGCCTCCCTTTACTCGCTAGGACCTGAAATATGAAAAAATAATACAACCTAGCGTAAAATAGGCCAAGGAGGACACTAATCAAAGCCAAATTGATCAAGAACGAGGGTGTAAACATGTGTAAATATCGTGTAAAGAAAAAGTTACACAAGCTAGATTCGACAAAGGAGACGTAGCAATACTTTCCAAAGGGACTGATTTCATGTTCAGGTGAAAATTGTAGAAACACTTGTTGATCAAGGAGAATGTTGATGGACCGATATTCTGGGTGATACAAGGGTTGATAGAAACGGAAGTTCGACAAAGGCAAGATTATCACAACCAGGAGAAGATGCTTACACGGAGGGCCATAGTTAAACAAGCAATTCATTTAGCAGGATATAGATGATACCATAAAGATGAGAAATGCGGGGGTACCTCTAGTGCAACAGAAGAATACGATTAACAATCAAAAGGGGGACCGAGGCCATCATTACACCAGGAAATTTTACAACATGGGTTCCAAGATTAGAAGAGAATGCATGGCGAGATGAAAGTAATCCATTATGTGTTGCAAGCAACAAAAGATAAGAACTACCATATACACTATTTGAAAGATGATGACAATGTGCTTACCCATCTTTTCTTTGCCTATCCGACTTCCATCCATATTTGAGGGCTTGGTCGTACATTATTGTGTCGTAGGTGTTACTCATGTGGGGAACTTCAATATCTGTTGTGCTCTAATGAAGGAGACAAAAGAGGCCCACGATCATTATCGACAAAAGAGGCATACCATTGGTTTTTTATGTGCATAAAACTGTTGCTCGGTCCATGGGTGCCCACGATCATTATCGACAAAGGAGGTTGACTACGTGCTTCAATTCATGTGTTCGTCCCCTACGCCCCACATTTGATATGTGTTTGGCAAATCAACAATATGAGGGTAAAGTTTATGGATATATTAGGGAAGAACGAATTTGGATTTGGTCGAAGAAGTCTACAATGAACATTGGGTTCTTGTGTTTTATTCCTGGCAATTTAATAGGGGTATTAAAAAAAATATTTAAAGATATGAAACAATACAATTCTAGCCATTTGATAGGGATATAAAATAGTAGTTTATATGTATTATCAGAATATCATTGTAAAATAGACTTGAAGGTATCTAACAGGGATATAAAATAGTAGTTTCTATGGGTTGAATCTCATTTGCAAATAGACTTAAAGGTGAGATTTCAACAAATATAGTTTAATCAGAAACTGAACCAATCGTATCATGCATGGTTGTCATGTCAGTGGTATGTCGGGCGATGGAACCAGGTTCAACTGGTACTGGTGGAACCAGGTTCAACTTATCCTGATGGTGAAACCGGCTGGAATGTCACCGGTATAATATTTCAGTCAATTTCAGTCAAAACCGAAATTTTGGGTGGTCCAACCTGTTTCAAATTCCGCTCACTTACCAGAAACGCTGACGTTTTAAACTGATTGTCAAAAAAAAAATTAAAAATCAAAGCATCCCTCCCTCATTAGTGGGTTTTGGGTTTCCCACTTAGCTTGGTTCTTTTGATTGTGCTCTGAAGAAGACGATTGGTGCTTGTTATGAGGTTCATTTTATAGTGAAGGTTGGCTTAGTATATTCATGACTTGAAATTTAATAAAAACCGGCATAAACGGATTGTACCACTGATAGAATCATTTCATTTATGAAACCGGCATATCAGTATAAACCAGTTTGACAACCTTGATATCATGCAATACTAGCTCGTCACTGTCTAACACCAGTACACCATTATGTTTCGTGAATGTAACTCTTGGCATCCGAAACAAAGGGTTTAACAAGAAAAGAACCAACCAAAAGCCATGCACTTGCCATCCAACGTGCTTCAAAGTAACTCAAAACCGAATTGGCACATTGGATGCGGAAAGTGCTTGAAGCGATTGGGTATCCAAGTAACTTCACCATTTTTTTGTTTATAAACCCTATTCTCGTCCACTGTTTTCTCTGAATTTCTGTCGAAAACAAAGGCCACAAAGCACTCTGCCCTTCAATTGTTTCCAATAATCTCATGTGCTAAGATCATTGGTCTCTTCCCTTCCTGTGTGCTGAGACTCATCCTGGGTTTCCTGACAAGTGGACAATTAGGCGTACACTAATTGGCTGTGGGACAGTAAGGTTGACAATTTACTTCCTCTGACTCCTCCACCTGTCTTTTCTCCACGTATAAATTCAGTACCAACTATGTATCGTCGCATGATTAAAGCCTTACCGGTCTTTCACAACAATCAGTATAACAAGATCATCAGACAAGCTACAAGTAGTTGTGAGTTCTCTCCCCGTAAAACTCAAACTCTTGTTCCAGAGCCCACCATGTCCAGTTCTGTGGGCCTTATCATTCCCTGCAAAGGTACTTCTATTCTCTACCACAACAAAGCGCAGAGCTTTCTGCGCTCCCGGTGGCTTTTCCCACTTTCCCAGTTGGCCGGCCGGTGGTCGGCCCTCTGCTTTAACAAGGGTTTTCCTTTTGGTGTTTGTCTGATTGCAGCTGCAGTTGCATGGGAAGCAGGGAAACCGCTAGTGATGGAGCAGGTGGAAGTGGCTCCACCACAGGCATTGGAAGTGAGAATCCAGATTAAGTACACCTCCCTCTGCCACACTGATCTCTATTTCTGGGAAGCCAAGGTCAGTCACTCTAAACTTCGAGGAGTTTTTACTGCAGATTTTTCTCAAGCATATCTGGTCCCTTCTAGTTAGCTTTCAAACTTAAGTTGCCATCATGTGGCTTCAATACAGCAGGAACATGTGAACCTGCCGCCATGCTCTTGTCTTCTTTATTGGCTTCGCGTCTTCTGCTTCTTTGAAATCGCTTTCCAAGCTCGATTCTTGATTATGTACATCCATGTCCTACGGACACAACATGTGTGTGAATGTGGCATGCTCAGGATCGTCTTGTATGGAACAGAACAGTGACACTTTTGGTGGTCCGAAATGAAAACGTCAAATCCATCATAAGTTCAGCCCTCAGAGTTGGCACTTCAGATAAAAAAAAATTACTAAGTTGAGCTCCCAATTTTTAACTCACTACATGAACCTGTTTCTCATCTGCTGTTTCAGGGCCAAACTCCACTCTTTCCCCGGATATTTGGCCATGAAGCTTCTGGGTATGCATTCCTCCTTTATCTTCTGCTACATGTGAATGAAACTTGCTATTTTTGGTAGTTTACTCTTAAAATGATTCCTGTTGCTGTACAGAATTGTCGAGAGCGTCGGAGAAGGGGTCAATGTTTTCCAGGTCGGAGACCATGTTCTTCCGGTATTCACAGGAGAATGTGGAGAGTGCAGGCACTGCAAGTCCGAGGAAAGCAACATGTGCGACCTGCTGAGGATAAACACTGACAGAGGTTTCATGCTCAACGACGGAAAATCCCGTTTTTCAATCGACGGACAGCCAATACATCACTTCCTCGGCACCTCTACCTTCAGTGAGTACACGGTTGTGCATTCAGGTAGTCTGGCAAAGATCAATCCACTGGCACCTCTGGACAAAGTGTGCGTTCTCAGTTGTGGCATTTCAACAGGTAACTCTTACCTCTCAATGAAGCTTTCCTCATAACCTCAGTCATCAAAACTGCAAAAATTCCTCAAATTGAACTATCCGTTTCAGGACTGGGTTCCACGTTGAATGTGGCGAAACCAAAACAGGGTTCAACAGTCGCCATCTTTGGTCTGGGAGCTGTTGGCCTAGCGGTAAGTTTCAACAATCAGTAAATGTGTCCTGCTGAGTAACATCTAAGAAGATACTGCAGATGGTGAGAATGTTACCTTGACATGCTAGCAAACCGTATTAATTTAGGCTGCTGAGGGCGCAAGAATTGCTGGAGCATCCAGAATCATTGGCATCGATTTGAATCCAAAGAGGTTTGACGAAGGTAAGCGTTGCTTGTTTGTTTGTCATTACAGAATCACGCTTCTGAAGTAAAGAGCACTGACCAGCTCACCTTCTTCCACCTGGACTTTTCAGCAAAAAAGTTTGGAGTTACAGAGTTTCTGAACCCGAAGGACCAGGACAGACCAATTCAAGAGGTCAGCATTTTCTTGCTGACTGCTTCATCACCATTCTGCACGAAATTGAACTTCTTATGAAATATTACCACCCATTTCCAGGTAATTGCAGAGATGACCGATGGCGGCGTTGACAGGAGCATAGAATGCACCGGCAACATCAATGCAATGATTTCAGCTTTTGAATGTGTTCATGATGTAAGTTAAATTTAAGACGAGCACAAAGAAGGCCTCTGCTGAATTTCATACTGTTTAAATGAATTGCTACGCATGTAGGGATGGGGAGTGGCAGTCCTTGTAGGAGTCCCTAACAAGGAGGCAGTGTTTATGACTAAACCCATCAACTTGCTTAGCGAGAGAACGTTGAAAGGCTCTTTCTTCGGGAACTATAAACCAAGAACCGACCTTCCATCTGTCATTGAAATGTATATGAACAAGGTAAGACTGTTCTTCGCTTCCTTCCAACCCCATGCTCGTTTCCCCTGCACTTAACTGAAGTGGATGAAGTTTTCCCTCTGCAGAAGCTGGATGTCGACAAGTTCATAACTCATCGGGTGCCTTTCTCAGAAATCAACAAGGCCTTTGACTTGATGCTGAAGGGGGAGGGCCTGCGATGTGTTATTGATATGGAGAAGTAAAATATAAGAAAAATAATGGACAGAACATCCTACTCGGTTATGTGATCAGCTTTATGCAATTTGTTCGTCTTGTGTGTCCTCAATCTGACAATGAAGGTGTGAGCAAACAAATACAAGGAAATAAATAGAAGCCCATTTCGAAGCAATGGTGAGTGTATTTTCAGGAGTGGCATTGACCCAAATCTGTAGAAGCACTTGTATTAGTAATATAAAGATGTAAGGAACAGCAAATCTATGATACACCTGATCTAATACCAAGAAGGAGCCTTTCAGATATTTGAGCTTCTAGGCTGATCATGAACCTCCAGTTAAAGATATGAGGCTGCTGCTAAGCCTGTGCCAGGACTATTTCTTGTACTTCTCCATTATTCTTCGAGCTTCCTTTACAGCTTCCTCCTCTGATGAAAAAGTCGGAGCGTCCGAATCTCTCCCTCCTTTGGGACCTTGATCTTTGTTGAAGGCAATGAACAGGAAATATACCAGCCCCATCGTAGCCTAAGCAGAAGACGAGAATACAGCGTTTATTCGATGCCCGTCATCAAAAGGACAGAAACTTCAGTACTTCAAACATGATTCTGCAACTTCAGAGTCCACATCGCAAAGGGAAAAGAGAGAGATACATTTATACATACCAGCGCAAAGAACGCTGTAGACAAGAATGATTTCAGCAGAATGAAAGAAACAGTGAGCAGAGCAACGGTCACTGAAACTCTGGCAATGGGCCTTGGAATGGAGACCTGTGAGGAAAGTCTAGCTCCATTAGAAAGAGTGATTCTCAATCGCTACCAATTGGGATAGGATGCAGGGGGAAACCTTACAGGCACTAGGCTGATTCCCGCATCGGTGCCATCCTTCCCAACCTTCCACACGGTTTGGATAGCTGTTCAGATTGTGAAAGACATAGATTAGAAGGGAGGAAAAGAAAGAAAATTAGCAATGCTGTTTAGAGCTCTGCCATTTGCATTTGCACCCAAATTTCCGATGTCGAGCAACAGGGTTTCAACTGGAAAGTCCCATTTGACCCACCAATTTCAAATAATTCTCGAAACTTGAAGATCGGAGTGCTAACCTCTCAAGAAATTAGACTGGGCAGCAACGACAGCCAGACCGGAAGGAGAGTTTCGAGTCTTAGGGTTGTGGAATTGCGAGCTCAGGGGGAGGAAACCTTGCTTTGTGAGCCTCAGTGCGACGGAGTTCGGGGAAACAAAACCAGAGGTACTGCTAGTGGTTGGAGTTAGGGTTATAAATGGGGAACATCGTGGAAAGGCTGGGGAAAGTGAGCATATGGCATGAGCAAGCACCGAAGCAGAAGCAGTCGCCATTAACGATACGATACTATTATCCCACTTGCTTGGAATGGGGAGAAATTGCAGAAATATTATGCCCGTAGGGTGTGGAACTCAATTAGCTTATGAATTATGATCATTTGTTTGTGAAGTGTTCATATAGGAGATATGTGCTGGAATCATGTTGCAGGGGCGCATTTATCCCAAGCTAGAAGATTGGAAAAGTGTGATTACATGGTGTGCGAGAAGCTGGAGTAAGAAAATGCAGAGGCTCGCCTTGGAAGGTTGATTTGGAGTACATGTGCAAGTCTAATTAGTAATTAGTAACAGTCTACTTGCTATCTTTTCGCGTATTAGAAAAATAAGTATTTTAAAGAGTAATAGCTTTAATGTTGACCCAAAAGTGAAAATTATTTATTTCATTCTTAATCATTCTTTTCATAGGTTTGTTATTTACAATAACATATGGTCGATAAACTTGCATAAGGTAAAAAGATCGTCGAATATATTATTTATGTTTAAACTTTTTTCATGACGCTATTGTTTCAATTTGTATGGCTAGTAGAACGCATTTTGTCGAAAGTATTTGGTTGGGGCAAGAAAAAAAAAAGAGATGCGAGGAGCTCTCTCCTCTCTCTCTCGCTGAGTGCCGCGATCGGCCGCTGTCTCTGGGCGATGCTAATCGCCTTCCTTACGACTAGCTTGAAGAATCAGTCACTCGGCTGCAACCTTCCTCCGCTTGATGATCACCAGATCCGTGTGGGAAGCTCCGGCCGTTACCGGTGTTCCATGACAGTTGCTCAGAGGCCATCGGTTGCAGATCCAAAAAGTGGTCGGACTGGTTGCACGATCCGCCGACGGGTCCTCTCGCACCGGAAACGAAAATTGGAGGCTCTAAGTGAAATTGTAGAGCTCACCGTTGTTGATTCAATTAAAAGATCCAGAAAATCGGCTTTGAAGGGGTGGAGATTCTGGCTCCCCCCTTCGTCTGTGTTGGACGAGGAGACCCTGTCTCCAAAACCAACGAATTCAAAACCAATTCCAATGGAGAAGAAGCGACACAATCAGCCCGGTATGGGGCCAAAGATACCTTCCCGTGGAAATAATTGCATGCAACCCTTCGGGGAAGATGGGCAAACGAAACCATCTTGCGAAAGTGATCGAGAATTCCCCGTCAGAGAAGGTGGGCCTGTACCGCCGGCATTAAGCCAAATGAACCCAGGCAACGACGCCGGTACCGGGTACGAATCGGAATCGTCGGATACCGGCAAAGATTTGCAATCCCGTAATGCTCGCTCGGTGCTAGCTACGGAGGTTGGGAGAAAATCTGGGCCAAATCCCCCTGCTTTTGGGGTTGGGAAGTTCCTCGGGCTTATCCTCCCGAAGAAACCGAACAATTCAAATAAAAAAAAAAAAAAGAGGATCTCTAGATCCTAGTTGATTTCGGGACTCATAGTCCGTTTAGAATTCTAAAAGAGCCAGGGAGCGGGCAGGTAGGGCGCTCTATAAAGGGAGCTCAGGCCTCTTCCTTCTCGATCACCTCCCTAACCCAAACCTGGTTCAGCTGTAGCTCGGATCTGCTGCGGGATAAAGAGCAACGAGAAGTGCCTCTCCAACCCCTATCTGCCAACAAGAATACTTCAGGTATGATGAATATACAAGCAAGTTCACCCCCCTGTTCTGTATCGCTCCCTAACCCCTCTTGGTTTTCAAAATTTGTTCCTGCTTCCCTCCCTGTGTCGCGTCCAAGTATTGACCAGGCAACCATTTTATTGGCTTCGTGTCATTTGCCTAATTCGCCTACGTCTCTGTTGCAGGGGATTTTGATAGCTCGGGTTGCTGACGACCAGGTAGTGGAATTCTCCCTATAAGAAGTCCAATCAACAAAGTTTCGTGCTTCCCGACTCTTTTGGGAAGAATGTTTACTGGTACCCAACTCACAAACGTGGAGCTTATGAACGAGATGAGTGAGGCGTGGCAGATGCGAGGTCACCTACGGGTAACCCGAACCAAATATGGGCTGATTGAGATTGTCATACCCAGTGAAGAAGCAAAAATATGGGTCTTGAAACGGACCCCATGGGTGATCAAAGATAAGCTGATTAACCTTCGATCCTTGACGTCTACGATCAGCAAGCAGATCTTTGACGATCTTGCTATCGCCCCTTTCCGCATCCAGCTCTGGGGCATGAAAGAGGATTGCTGTACCAAGTAATTTGGACAAAAAATTGTAGCTCCCACCATTGGCCAAGTCCTAGAGTCTGGGGTCTTCGCCTGCAAAGACACGGGAGAAAGCTTTGTGAAAGTTCGTGCTTTGGTGAATTTTTCAAAACCTTTGAGGTCTCAACTTATGGCAGTCAGTGAAGAAACCGGACGCTTTTGGATTCGGTTCAAATATGAATTCCTCCCAACCTTCTGCTACCATTGTGGCCGTCTGGACGATGCTCGTCCTGACTGTTCATTTGATCCTCCTAAGGGGAAAGAAAAGTTCGGCCCCCACATGTCTACAAGGAAGATGGGGCGTAAAATTTATGAGGATATGGAGGAAAATACTGGTTTTCGGGGTACTCGAAATACTGTTTGGATTAACAGACAGGTGCGACAGCAAGTGGCAGGAGCTGAACTTGGGAATAAAGGCCGCGGGCCGGGCTCACAAGCAGGGAAATTTGTTCCTCGAAGCCGGGCGCCAATCTATGATGCCGATCAGGTGCATTCTAGGCAGATGGGCAAATCCAGCCCGCCTAGGCCCATGACTAAGCCCAAGCCCAAGCTTGCTAGCCCAAGGGGCTTTCCGGTCCGGAAATCGCCTATAGCCCGCTTTGGGGGTGGATCGCGTAAATTGCGAAGGCTAAGCCCTGACCCCGATCCTACCCGACCACTGGAGAGTGGTAACGGAGGCAGGCCGAGACAGGCCCAGAGACGGGGAATCAATCTGGTCCAGCCCAATGACCAAAATCTTCCGACTGTGCATCCGGAAGTACAGACGATACTAGAGCAATCCAGGCGCCGTCGCTTGATCTTGGAAGAGGATTCGGATGATGATGATCTTGAGCTGCCCCATGCTACAGGTGCTAACCTGGCCAGGGAGGAGGAATTATCGCAACATTTGCCGGAGCGCGTGCCTGGCAGTGAGAAGGGGGTTCGTGCAGAGGTCGGAGGATTTTGACGGATGGCTTGAATGATGGAGCTGCTGGTAACCTCAACGAGGAGCAAATTTTTGTAAATTCGGAGTCGGAGGATGAGGTGCCCTGTTTTGAGTTTAAAAAGCGCACCCCTTTAAGGTGCGACACATAGCCAGCTCAGATCCCCTTCGGGAGTGTTAATAAAGTTGTGAAGGCCTTTGAAGCAGGCCTATGCTTGTCCCAGGACAGTAGCAGGGGAAGTCCTTGTGTTGAGAAGATCCCTAAAGAGTATGTTCCAGGAGAACGACGGGGTGGTGATGTTGGCGACAAGAGGTCGTGTCTAGATGAATATGGATTGAATTTGATGAACCCGACTATTGGGTGTCGAAAGCGCTCGCTGGAGCAGGTAGGAAGTGATCTTGGTATCCCCCGTCTCCCAAAAAGCAGTTTGTGGAAGATAATGATGTCTCTGAGCAGGTGGAGGAAGCCAGCCTTGAGTGGCCCCAGCCGGATAAATGAGGCTTTTGGCGTGGAATGTGAGAGGAATTGGCCCGTCCCTCACGTTCCAAACTGTTGTTGGTTTAGTTCATTCTAATAAACCGGATCTTGTGTTTTTTTCGGAAACACGTTCGAGACGGAGAGTAGTGTCCCGCCGTTTGCGTGGGTTAGGGTTTGAGTCTTCTTGTTGTTTTTTTGTTGATGCGGTTGATGCATCTGGTGGTTTAGTTGTCGCTTGGGCTCCCGAAGTTGCTGCTTCGGTGTTTTTTCATTCGGATTTTTGTGTTTGTGTTCAAGTTAATGAAATGAGTTTTTCGTATGTGGCGATCTTTGTTTACATTAGTTTCAATGTAACTCGTCGTGCTACTCAGTTAGACCAGCTCCACGAGATCTGTGTCGGTATCCAAGGCCCCTATGTTATTTTAGGCGATTTTAATACAACTCTCCATGAGAGTGAGAAGGATGGATAAAATCAATGGAATGTTGCGCAAGCCCTCAGCCTCCGTAATTTTGTCCAGAATTTGGGCCTTCTTGACCCTGGTTTTCAGGGGGACCAATTCACTTGGACCAATAAACGCATGGGGACGGCCTGTGTTAGAGAGAGACTGGATAGAGCCCTTTGTTCGCAATCTTGGCTTGACCACTTTCCTGATACCTTGGTCAAGCACTTTACGGATCAGGGATCGGATCATCGGGCGCTCCTCCTTTCTTATAAACCCTATGTTCGGAATAGTCGCCCTCTATTCCGTTTGATGCTCGATGGGCGGATAACCCTGAAGTGAAGGCCATGGTTTCTTATGTTTGGCAGGAAGATATCCAAGGCACCCCCATGTTTCGCCTGTGGGAGTGCCTTAAGAAGCTGCGGCATTTATTATATGATTGGAGTAGGGCAGGAACAACTCATTCCATGCGAAATATCAGAACTCTCCAAAGCGAAATTGAGCGGCTTAAGCTTATTCACCCAATTGATTGGGATGCGGTCCGTGGCCTGGAAGCTGAATTAACAAGACAGTGGGATGCGGAAGAAGTTTACTAGCAGCAAAAGTCTAGAGTTCACTGGTTGAAGAAGGGAGATAAAAACACATCTTACTTCTACACAGTGACTCGGACGCGTCGTAAACTGAATTTTGTGACGGGTCTGAGAGATGAGAATGGTGAGTGGATTACTGATGAAAAAGGGAAAGCAGATATTGCCACCAGTTTCTATGGCCATATGTTCACTTCGGAAAGTCAAGTTCCCAATATGGGGGAGAGAGTGGCTTCTCTACCTATTGCCCGCAGTGTGACTCCGGAAATGAATGCTGGCCTGGCGGCTGTCATCCTCCCGGAGGAAGTGCGGAAAACTGTCTTCGCGATGGGAGCTAAGCAAGCCCTTGGGTCTGATGGGTTCACGGGGAAATTTTTTAAAGCCTTTTGGGGTATTGTAGGTGATTCGGTGGTTGACGCAGTCTGCTCGTTCTTTACGACAGGTAGGATGCTCCGTAGCTTCAATCACACCTGGCTCACTTTGATCCCCAAAGTGGATAATGTTGAATCCATGAGGCAGTTGCGCCCAATCAGTTTATGCCAGTTTGTGTATAAAATCATAACTAAGATCATGGCTGAACGATTATCGGGCCTCTTACCTCACATTGTTTCTTCGGGACAAAACGCTTTCATTAGGGATCGCCAAATTGTGGAGAATATCCTCCTTGGACATGAGTTAATGCATTACTTGAAAATCAAAAAGCAAGGCAAGAAGGGGTACATGGCTCTTAAAGTTGACATGGAAAAGGCCTATGATAGAGTTGAATGGCCGTTTCTTCTTGCAATTTTGGACAAGATGGGTTTTAACTCAGTTTGGCAGGGTTGGATACATGAGTGCCTCCGGTCGTCATCTTTCTCTGTCCTGATGAATGGTACTCCATCGGGGTTCTTCAGACCATCGCGGGGCTTGTGGCAAGGAGATCCCTTATCACCTCTTCTTTTTGTGCTTTGCACTGAGGGATTTGTGGCACTCTTGCGTAAGGCGATCGGGGATAAGAGGCTGGCAGGGGTTAAGGTGGCCCGCGTGCCCCACGTAAACTCGCATTTATTTTTTGCCGATGACTCTTATCTATTCCTGCGGGGCACACTGCAGGAGTGTGAGAATTTAATTGCGGTACTAAATGAATACGAGGAACTCAGTGGGGCAGCGCGTCAATTTGGGTAAATCGGCGGTTTGTTTCAGTAAGAATATTGCTCTCCCTGACCAGGAGTTCTTAGCGGCGATTCTGGGAGTTGGAGCTGTTGGGGTGCATGATAAATATCTGGGTTTCCCCACTTTGATTGCTCGTTCTAAAATGGAGACCTTTCGGTATTTGGAGGAAAAGCTGTTGGAGAGGCTTCAGGGGTGGAAACGAAGGACCTTGTCCTGGGCAGCAAAGGAGACACTGATTAAGTCCATTGCCTTGGCTTTACCATTGCATGTCTTGTTTCAAGATGCCTCTCTCGTTGTGTCACCTATTGGACAAGCATGTTGCTCGCTTTTGGTGGGGCGATGATGAGGGACATTCGAGAATTAGGGGGATGGCCTAGCGGGATATGTGTAAGAGTAAACATGAGGGGGGAATGGGTTTCCGCCGTTTTGAGCATTTCAATCAAGCCCTTTTAGCCAAGATCGGTTGGCTTCTTTTGGTTGAGCCCCAATCTCTTCTAGCTCAGGTCTATAAGGGTAAGTACTTCCCCTCTGGGCATTTCCTCAATGCGAAAGCCAGGTCGCGTCCATCCTGGGGTTGGCAAAGCATTTTGTATGGTCGGGATTTGTTGGAAATGGGCCTTAGATGGAAAATTGGGAAT